AGGCAGGGTGTGGGAGGGTGGAGGGGGGCGAGGTTGCCGGGTGCAAGACAGGACTGTGGGCGCCCAGGGGAGCACAGAGGGCGCTTTGCTGCCTTCTGGCCGTGGGTGCCGCCCCGGGGCCTTTGCACGTGCTGTTCCTGTGGCCAGAGCACTCTTGCCCCAGATGGTTTCATGCTTCACTCTCTCCGTTGACTCAGGTCTGCTCAGCTGTCACCATGTCATCCCTCCGTTCCTGTTACCCTGCACCCCTTGTCCTATTTTACTTTTTAAAAAATTAGTCCTTCTCCCCCCTTTCCATCAGCCTTCAGGAACGGCTGTACCTTTCTTCAGAGCCGCTCCCGCCGCCGGGCAAGGTCTCTGCTCTGCTCATGTGCCATGGTCTGTCCCCTGCACGACTGGTTCAGCTCCATAGGGCAGGGCTCTGTGTCCACCTCATTGATAAGGGACCCCCGGGCATCAGAAGGCGGTGGGAAGAGCCTTCAAACGACAGAGCAGCCTCCTGGGTCCCTGGCCTTCCCTCCCAGCACGGAAGCTTAAGGAAACCTCCCGACGCCTGGTGGCCCCAGATGTGTGGGAAGGAAGGTGCCCCGGTGCCGGAGACCAAAGCCGCCATGCCGTCAGCACCCACTCCGTGCTGTGAGCACCCACGCGGTGCCAGACCCCGCACTGCCCGGGCAGGGTGGTGCTCCTTGGGGCTCATTGGGGGTGCTCCCTCTGGTGTGGAGCTGGGTGGTCAGAGTCTCGCCGTGATCTTGAAGTGCTTAGTACTTGCTGCAGGCACTTCGCCCACACCCGGTGGCTCTGGGGGACGACCCAGGGGCAGCGTGTGGCCACAGCAGGCAGGACGGCTCAGCCCTGCTGACGAGGACCCCGGCCACTCATCTACACCCGTCCTCACTCCTCACGGTGGCTCTGAGGAGAAGATGTGGTTATCGGCTCCATTTTACGGAAGAGAAAACAGAGGCCGAGAGAGTCCAAGGGCTTGCTGGAAGTCACAGAGCCTTGGGTGCTGAGGGGGACAGCCACCAGGGGGCTCCGGCCTCTCCAGCCTGGCCTCCCCTGTGCGCCTTGCCTCCCTCCTCGGCCTCTCGGCTTTCTCTGGGCTCCCAGCTTTCGAAGCTGTGCCCGGCTTCCTCCCCAGGATCTCCATGCTCACAGTTGTCGCTGCTGGAACCCTCTCCCCACCTGGCTTCTTCCCACGATTTTATTCAGGTCACAGTTGGAACACTACCTCCTCCAAGAAGCCTTCCTGACTGAGTAAAGACGGCATCGCTCAACGCCTCCTTAGCACACACACTCTTTCCTTTCGCCCCGGCTGGGATCCCAGTGTGTACTTCGCTGACTTTGTGTTTGTGAACTCAGGTATGTTGGCCTTCTCCAGCCAGAATGCAGGTTCTGGGCGGGCTGGGCTGGGCCTGCTTGACCCACAGCTGTGTCGCCAGGTCCTAGCAAGGTGGCTGGGGCGCAGGGCGT